TAGTTAGCTGGCCAAAGAACTTCTAATGTCAATACATACGATATTTTGGGTCTTTTCCGACATTAGTTACACCCATGAGAAAAGATGTTGAGTAGAAAATCAAGAAATTGTTGGAAGAGTCATGGATTCTGTTTGTACCATATTTCACCAAGCCCGAAACTACCAAGCACGGGCAACCATATACCTTCGGAGACTTACTGAAGAGTTCATGGTGAGACACACTTGCCAAAGCACATGAGTTTCTCTCCAACTAGGAGACCAATCACCATGCGCCATGTGTCAACACCAGTATAAAGTATCTAGAGTCTCACATCGACAGGGGACAGCAACAGGGTGTAGCCCAACTTAGATCTTGCTAACGACAATTATGTGCAATCCCTTGTTTTATGTAAACACTACATTGTTAATGAGAACTCCTCTACCCTCGTGGATGTAGCCCAACTTAGGGTAAACCACGTACACCTTGTGTCTATTTCTCTTCCCTTTATCTCTCAATCTACTATCTTCACTAAGTGACCAAAGCACCCTTGCGAAGGTCACTTTATGACAATTTACGTTGTTCCAAAGTCAACCCAATTTTGTGCATCAACAGATTCGATTATGACATAGCCTTACATATCCTCCATACATAAAATTGAATGGAATACGTATAAATAACCCCTAAAAATCATACATAAACCTCAACCATTTCAACTGAATCACTACTTTAGCTAACCCAAACCAGCACACTAAATTAGCTCAGTCATCCCTAAACATAAAGCTGTTCATCGTCTCCATCAACTACACTTCTCAAACTAGAGCATGGATATCAACATTCCCCAGCTTTTGGAAAATATAGTACAATACAAATTTAACAGCTTTTGGAGAAAAACTTAACGAGAATTGAGCAAGACAATAACAGAGACTAGAATGGGCTGTAAAGAGCTATGTTGCCAACACTCCCCCACAAACTGGGAAATAGTAATGGCTGACTCAACCTGATACAAAAGTATTAGATTAACTACTGCGGAGCTCATCGCCTTTCCCGTGTTCGCAGCCTTTTAAAGTCCAAATAAACCCTATTCTTTCTACGATTAAGGTGAAAACAAATTGTTCTCCCCCTACCCTATGCATACAGCAAATAGAAGGTTAATTTTTTGTGATGCCTTCGTAGTCCCCGAGTCTATTGAAAGCCAATTAAGTCTTCATTGTAACTAACATCCTTCGCCCGCACGAGGTTGAACCCGAGTCCCATCCATCATTACAGCGTGTATGCTTAATCTGCTAATATTTCAGGCCAGAAAAAAAGACCCTAAACAGGTTAAAGATGCTGCATTTTAACCAATACAGGGTATGTCTCCTACTCCTACTACTAGAAAACCGGAATGTGTGAGAAGATTGAATTCGACACCCACAAGCGGTTAAAGAAGTTAACATGTAATCTAAAAAGATAGACAAAGAAATTACATGATAGAAAATAAACAAACTATAACAAGTTAAAGAACCGACACCCACGAAACGAAAGATTTTTGTTCAGAATTTAACTCACCCCATTTTCATGAGCCCTCTCGACCAACTTGGAAGGCGAAAGAAACCCATCACTGCAATTTGAATGGGAATGCAATTCAAAGAGTAGCTTGTTTGCTATGCTCTTTTGCACCAACGAAACCCCAAAATCATCCGAAGCTGCAGCGGAAGAAGCTTGGTGCTGTTCCAAGAAAACCCATTCACTCACAGACTTGAAAGCTAAAGTCTGCTCGGCAGTCATCTTCTTCTTGCTCCCGCTCCCACCTCGCTTTTTCTTCTTCCTCGCTGTTTTCTTTGGGCTGCTCAAGTTGTTTGTGGCATCCATACTGCTACTGATCCAGGAGAAGGGAGAAGGGCGACTTACGGTAGAGCAAGCTAGGGATTTTTAGGGATATCAGATTAGATAAGGCGGCCTACTAAGACTGCCAAGTTTGCTTCATACAGAGAGAGTTCACAGGTGTCCTCCCCTCTCTTCTACTTTTTCTTTTCGTCAGACAAAGCTTGTACCCCCCAACCCAGTAGTACATCCTCTGTTTTAGAGATTTTTCATGACTAGAGACTTTTCGTCGGCACGAAACACGGGTACATACGTTATATATACTGTGACCATGACTTTTTCATTTTTAATATTTGCGCCCTATCCACACATGTTCCTAGTCGTAGATGTGTCCTGGATGTGGCTCTGGTTGTTACAATGAACTGTCTTTATCTTACATAATACTAGCTTCAGGAGCTAAAGTGAATTACTTTAACAAGTGGCTTCTTTTTCCCAAGTAGCATCTTATACTCCATGATTTCTGCATACTACTTTGACGGTGGTAGGCGTAGGATTGGTGGTAGTGGTGGTAAGCGGTGGAGTCACTTTATTTTTCATGAAAAAATACTTGTATAAAACAATCTAAGTTTTATTTTTCTTCTTATCTTTAAATTAATTTTTATTTCATAAAGAATCTACACAACATTAATAAACTTTAATTTTTTTTCTTCACTTATAAGTAAGAGATCTTAAGTTTGATTTTCGTCAAATGCAAATTTGAACCACATTATTACTAGCCTATCATAAGGTTTAGCTCACTCTTCCACCGTCTTAGTATAGATAGTATCATTTGTTCAAAAAGAAAAAAAATTCATTAGATTGAATTTGAGAGTGTTTGGAGGCCTTTGTGTCGAAGGCTTTGCTGGCCTTTTTGTGTTAAGAGCAAACAAAACCTTCACGTCCCCCATTTCTGAGTTAACCATTTTACTTGTTACAAAATTTGTTAGATTGGGGACTTTTTGTGTCGAAGGCTTTGCTGGGCTTTTTGTGTTGTAAAGAGGCAAACAAAACCCTCACATCCCCCATTTTTGAGTTAGCGAGAATTAGGCCCAAAGCATCTGAAGGGAAAACAAGTCCTGGGAAATGCATTGTTGTTCTTCCAGCAGCTCTTAGGTGCTTGGTTTGGTGTTACGTTGAAATGCTTCTAGCAGTTGTCGAAGTTTTTCCATGGCTATTGAAGTGCTTCATGCGGCTGTTAAGGTGGTGAGTTAATATTAAAAAGGGTTTGGCATGAGAGCTTGAAGTGTGGGAGCTAGAGATCCACAAGTTCAGCAAATAACAATGCATGAGCTTCATTTTGGTACAGTTACGTTAAGATTTAGGAGAAGAATATGTAAGAGATATTGATAGTGGTTGAGCTTTTGGTCATGGTGGTTGGTTGAGGTTTCTAAGGTAGAAGATCAGTGGTGAAAGGAGAAAGCTTAAAGCTTGAGTCTATGGCTTGCTGGAAATCTTGTAGCAGTCAAGACCAGGGAGAGAGATTTCCTACAGCAAGGAGAAGATGTTCTTCTTTAAGCATGAAGTTGAAAGCGCGTGATGGAGAAGGTTTCTAGCACGTAAAACAAGAATTGGAGCTACCTTATATTCAGTGAACAAAGTGGGGCGTTAGAAATTGCTTCTAGTAGGTAAAACACTACTACAAAAGGGGATATTACTTTCGGAGTAAAAACGACAAGAAACACTACTTACTGTTGAATTATTGGTAAAAATCCGACATTAAATTGTGCAATGTCGGATAGAGGAACCGACACCATGGTGTGTTGGAAGCTACTTGTTTTCATAGGGTAAAGGGATGGATTGGAACCTCCTTGTGTCCTATGGACAAGAACAGGCACTGAGACTAGTTTTTTTGCAACAGCTAAAAGGGTGGAATGGTATCTTCTTAGTGACATATGGATAGAAGGGTGAGATAGGTTGCACCATGAATAGGTTCACGAGAAACATATGTCTTGGTGCAGGAAAAGAGAAGATATAAATATGTCTTGTGTGGATGGGTTGTTGTAGAGTTAGGTTATTGTTGTAAATAAGGTGTTGGAAATTATCTCATTTGCTTTTCCAATGTGAGACCACTCCAAATAATAATCGTGGACATTGATGCTCCCAAGTAGACCAAAGTCTCCATTATCGAAGAGTTTCTATGAGCCTTGTGGACGTCCATAACCGTCCACACCTCAACTCATCTAACAAGACCATGAAACCATATATCTTGGGTCATGTGAGCTTGATAGGTGTTAGGTTTAAAGGGATGTGTTTGACATGGTGTTATATATTTTACTGTTTGGCCTAACATGAGAATTTAACTTACGTAAATGCTTGCTAAACTATTAGTTTTGCCACGTTTCCAAAAAAAAAAAAAAATTATTAGTTTTGCCACTAAATTTGCATAATATAATCGAGATCCACATGGGGCAATAAAACCGTAAGGGTAATGGATGTTTAATGTGTTTGGGCCTATGCGTGCAATTTTTGGGTCCAACAGAGAGTATGAATCCCGCTGTCCTGCCAAACTCTTTTATTTAGGTTCAAAAGCCTTCAGGTTAGTCGCATCGGATGGTCCTTCTAAATCTTGATCGTGGAATCGGATTGCCTAAATGAATATGGTGAACAGAAATGGAGTTTAAAACCTTCGAGCCTAGAAAATGAAAACCAAGAGACTTTACACATGCATTATATGGAGTTGTGGTACTCTTTGTATTGCCAATTAATTTTATTATGAAAAACTATCAGAGCAGTTTAACCCATGTGTGAAGCGTAATGGTCACATGTGCTCTAAGTACCCAATTTTTGTTTTTCAAGTGTCTAGGTAGAAAATTTGCCACATGCTAAGAGGCATTGCAGTATCCATATTGTCGATTGATATTATGGTAAAACCTCAGCTTCATACTTATCAAGATAGAAGAATAGTGGGAGAAAAACTATCCTGATGTGCACCTAACAAAATGATGATTCAGTCCATCATGGATGCCCTGCAGCTGCTTGCTCAGACCCCTCTTCCATTGTACAGATTCTCTCGTCCCTGAAAACAGTATATACAACGGAAAAACCAAAAAATCGAGGGGGCTGCTCCGACCAGTTTAGTCGAGTTGCCCCTCATAACCTCCTCGTGTATGCTCAATCTGCTTCTCTGAAGAATGACGCGGCATCTAAATTCCAATGTCATAACCTGCACCGCGCATTGTTAAATCTTGAAAGCCAAAATGATCGAATATGGCATTCATCACAAGGTGAAGTGAGGCAGCAACATTGGAATCAAATAAACTGGATAACTGATGACCGATCATAATTTGTAAAACATTGAAATTTTAAGACAACAAACGGTACAAATTTGGAATCAATATTCGGTTTCCAGCACGCCATCAATAAGCCCGAATTCCATAGCCTGCAATTTAAAAAAAATAAAAATAAAATAAAATAAAATAAAGGGGAGGTTAATAAGCTGGATAGATAGATATGTAGTGCTGGAGTATTACTAGCGGCTGGAAATTGAAAAATTAATTTGGTTAAAAGAAGTTTATCGTAGTTCTGGGGTCGCAGAATTAGCAACATTACCTCGGAAACAGATAAGAAACGATCCCTCTCAGTGTACTGTTGCACTTTCTCTAGAGATTGCCCAGTAAACGCAACATACATTTTGTCGACTTTCTGCATCAAATACATCAGGACACAAGACCAAATTAAAAGACTTAATGTGGAGCAGATGGCACTCATAAATTTGATGAATAAAGCACAAAGAAATAGCTCTAAGGGAAACTAAGTACATGTTAAACACAGTATTGACAGAACCCTAAATCTTGATTTCCTAGAACTCGAAAAGCAATAATCACAAATGCAAAGTCTTTCAAACATTAAAAGGAGATTCCCAGTGGATGAGGACCCCGCCCATGCAGGGTCTGAGTAGTACGTATTTTCTCAAAGGTCCAGAGAATGCCCTTTTAGTTTTTGGAGCAGTAAGTGTTATTAGCGATGTTCCTTCATTGTATGTGATTCTCCTCACAATAGATCCACGCTACTTCAAAATGGTGATTATGGCTGTATTATCTACCACTAACTGCCCCCAGATAACCAAGGTTTGTCTGTCACTAAATGAAGACTAAACTAATGGCACAGTGAATTTATACATAACAACCCAACCTCGAACAGGGCTGAACCTAAATTTAAGTTGTCCTGGTATCACTGTGAGACAACAGCTCTCAACATCCGCATTCAAATTGTAATTCTCTAAAATACCACATCAAAAAGAGATTTCCTTGGACACCAAGGTTTGTCTGTCATTAAATGAAGTTGCAACTCATGCAGTGAATTTATTTGCAACAACCCAGTCCCAAATAGGGTTGAATCTAATTCCAGTTTCCCTAGTAGCCCTGTGCGGCAGCAGGTCTCAACAAGCCTTCAATTTGTAAAAGTCTATAAGCCATCAACTTTGACTTGATCAGAAAAATTATATAACAAAATTGATTATTCTGCTCACAGTTTGATTTAAATCAATTAGGCTGCAACACTAATATATGATCACCAGAAAGATTTTCAAGAATACAACTAAGGGAGAAGAGACTGACATGGCGAGTTTGAACTGCTTCATTCACTTGGCGCCTCACATCTTCCACGTGGCCCTACAATAAGACAATTCCAAATCAATCCACGGATATAAAATAAAATGGATCACGTAGTAATTAGTATATAAAAAATTATTTTAATTTTACGGAAAATAATTAACAAAGAATCTGAGAATTTGAAACTAATATCGTTAATTTCTCAGACAATATCAATTTGTTGCGTTATACATGGAAAAATCAACCACAAAGACATGAACTAATGTATTACTATAAAAATTCATGCAGTTATGATTGCAGGAGAAAATAGGGCAAGAAACAAAAAAGACTATAAAAACTAGATTAAGTAACAAATAGGTTATGAGATTATTAGGTCATTTACAACAGAAAGTCAAATCTGAGACCTTCGATGGTTCAAGGATGTAACATAGTACAGAGGTATTTAAAAAGATCAAATACAAAAACTAAACAAGAAGTTATCTTCTCACGGTAGTATTTCTTCTTCATACTTGTATTTATTTTTTTGTTGGAGACCTTCACAGTTCCAAAAAATACATTGACGTTTAGGTAGTACGATAATTTTTGGTCAAACTCACATCACACCTTTAGTATTGAGACCATCATACTTAATCAAACGCTTGGTAGAACCAATAATGAGATAATACAAAATTCAGCATTTCCATCATCATCTAAGGGCCTACTGAAGCCACCAAATTTTCTATCATCTCAAGCAAATGCAAGGATCAAAAAGAACATTTAACAATTTTCAAAGGCATTAGTTCTAGGACTAAGAAATAACATGCTTCATGGTTATAATATCAATCAGAATTGGAACATAAGAAAAATGGAACCTTAGGACACAATGCATATACGATTCTAAGGGAGTTTATAATATGAAAACATTTTACTCAAACTTCAATTTAAAAGTTAAAACAAATATATATTCACTCTTTTTCCTGATCAGTACAAATAAACTGAAAAGAAATGTAATCAAGTTCCATTTTCTGGCATGTCCTTGCTAAAAATTAGTGGAATGATGGAAATGCTATATAGAATCCTAATCCAACCTAACATAGCTGTTCCAAATTCTATATTCTTAAATGCATGCGCTGTGGAATCATGAAAATGTGAAAAGTGTTTTACTTGTAATCTAGAATCCTTGAATCCTTGAATCCTAGAATCAACCTTCAGAAAAATGTTTTACATGAAATGTATGCATTATGGAATGGTGGAAATGTTAAAAATGTTTTACAAGTAATCTATAATCCTAAAATCCAACCTGCCGAAATGCCAGGTTAATAACCAAGTTCCAGCATCTATGTCCTTGCAATATTAGTGGAATGATGCAAATGCAAGGATTGAAAAAAATATTTAGGCTATGTTTGGGTGGGGATTTCCAAGTCCCAAAGGATCGAGATGAAGTTGGTAAGGATGGATCATAAAATGTTTAGGAGGGATTAGAAAAATACCACATGAGCATTCCAAATCCTTCTCATGTAACTGCTCGATGAGATTTGAGATTTCTATATCATTATATTCATTACCAAACTTTGATTTTTAAATGATACTACAGAATTAATTAACATATGGTACAAAAAGAAGTTAGGTCTTTCCTCCATACCCAAAACTGATAACAGCACAAGATAGGAAAGACACCTAAAAGAATAGACCATCAAAATACAATTCACTTTTACTTCTTGTCATATAGCCCATTAATTCACATCCTCCTACCCTCTTATAAGCATCTTCTTAATAACAAAATAGGCAAGCTATCCAAAAAAAAGTTGATTCATACCCCACATCCACTCTGTGGTTGGTGTATCATGATTCGTGCATTTGGCATCGCATAGCGCATTCCTTTTTCTCCCCCAGCAAGAAGAAGTGCTCCTTGGCTTGCAGCTACTCCGAAACATACTGTTCCTACCTTAGGTTTGATCTGATAACATAAAAAAATCATTTAATGCAAACAGAACATAATTGATAAATAAAACTATTTCTTGTTTGGTGCAATCGAGCTATGGTTATAATTTTGTCTTGGTTTTTCTTTGTGTTTTTGTTTGCCTGATTATTACTTAGTTAGGTTTATCTTGTTAAAGACAACGCAAACTTAATCAGAATGACGAATTTTAAAGTTAGTTCAAATGCTATTTGAGCCCTATCACCTCCTCAAGGCTACTGTGACAACAATCTAAACCGTAAATTCAATATAGGAGTTTGATGACAAATTGATGATGTAACAAATAGAAATGAATGAAAATGCAATAAAGAAGAGAGCAAATGTTCTGTTTTGGTCCGCTCTCATGTCTTCTGTTTCTAATTAATTTAGACTTATTCCTTTCTCAACTATCTGCTGGCATTGGAAGTCATTTTAGAAGGGATTTGATTCCCTCTTTCATTTCTCTTATTTCTTACTAGCATATGGGCACACACAAAGTGTGTGAGAAAATTTTTTATTTTTGTTTTTGAAATATAAGGAGAGAGGAAGAGAGTGATAGAGAATGTGGGAGTGGGATTTTTTTTTTTTTAATTAGAGATATGTTAGGATTACATGTAGGTGAGGCTTTAAAAAAAACAGCAAAATTTGGTTGTGTGAAATTACATTTATGCCCCATATTTCTTATTCATTTTTTTTAATTAGAGGGTTAAACTGGTAATTTCATAGGGTTTTGGTTAACAATGAGTGTTTTATTAATTAGGTAGAGATACTGGTGTACTTTAACACTCCTTTTTCTATGTTTTTTTTATTGTCTCTGTTGCAATACAATTTTCTTTATCCACAACAAAGTGCAAAGAAATGTGATAAAAATTTGGAAGAAAAAAAGAGAAAGATGACAAAGCTTCATGACATTACCCAAGACATGCAGTCATAAATTGCCAAAACAGAGTATGTACTCCCACCAGGGCAGTTCAAATACACCTGAAATGATACAGGACAAAGTCACAATCTCTGAAAGAAACCGACTTTGACATGTTATTACTTTAGCCATGCTGAATCAATTGAAAGGGGGGCGGAGGGGAGAAGGGGAGAAAGTGTAAGTACACACCAGTATATCTGAATTCTCATCAATAGTAGCCAAAGTCACAAGCTGGGATATGACTCGTTGTGCCACCGCTGAAGTGACTGGCTGCCCAATGAAGATTATACGGTTCCTGAATAATACAGATGAGAGATCCAATGGTCCACCTGGGGTCATCACAGCTGGGAGTATGGGTGGATTCCCTTTTTTGGCTTCTATTGCACCATAACTAAAAAAATTCACAAACTTATAATCCTATCTAAAGATAATGGAATACATCATTCAACATACTACGCATGAGTAGAATTCAAGAGCCTTGAAGGACAGAGACTGATAGAATTATTTTCCATTGAAATTCTAACAAGTTTAAAAAACGTATCATGCCCCAGTTAAAAAAGTTTTTGGCCCTAACCTATTTTCATCAATTCATCCTCAGTTATCAATATCATTGAATAAATATATGCATTCGTTTCCAAGGGACTTTGCATAACTTGTGACCCGATGGATGTAAAAACAAAAAGCCATTTCAACCTATTTTGATTCATAAAGGAACAGAAACACAGAGTGTGTGCAGGCAAAATTGGGGTGTGCAAAAATCATCTCCCAAGATAAAACTACCTTATGAATACAATATAATGTGAAAATCAATACAAATATAGTCTGAAAACGCACTTTAAATCAAATCGAAAAGAAAATTCTATCAATTATGCAAAAGGGCACGAGTTATAGACCTTGTACTGGTATCACCAAAATCGTTGCCGTCAAGCTTTAGAGGTGACCCACAAGTTCTACTTGATAATCCTGGAAACAGCAATACGTTTAGAATTTAATCTAGTCTGCAAAACTGAATATAAACTCCAAATAAATAGCCAAATGCAAGTAATTATTGAATAAATGACCGAAATCACGGATTAAGCTCAAACATTGAACAATTGGGTCTCTTACTCTATGGAAATAATGTAATTAGTAAAAAGAAATTACCACTAGTTGCTAAAGAATCGCCGTACGGAGTGTGCAAGGCAGAGACTGTGGACTTGGGCGTCGAATTTCTGCACCACCACCACAAAACATGAACAAACAACAGACAAATACATCATCATATAAAATGAAAACTGTAAAAATTGAAAAATTGAAAGATAATCCTCTGCATTTGTTCGTACCTGAGACTGAGAGGCAACAAAGGAAGAGATGTTGAGTTACTACTGCGGCAAGAACCCAATGAAAAGCTCAGCCTCGGAGGGGCTGAGAAACCTGCTAATGCTACCATTTCAACTCCCTCAGAGAGACGCAGAGAGCGCGAGCAGATTAGGAGGATTTAGGAGGAGCACATATGTGGGCTGTACGGCTCGGCCCATTAAAAATGAAACAGTAATAATCCTGTTTACTGGTTCCGTTGACTAGGCAGCCAAGTGTGTGTGTGTGTATATATATATATATATATATTTTTTTTTTTTTTTGAATAAACGATACATTGAATTTTAATGTCAGTCGAGCATATATTGAATTTTAATGCAAGATATTCCACCTGTTACTAAATTCATACTATTTTTTGCACTTTCATCAAAATTCTAACCTTGAAGATTTTTTGAGCTTCTCAATGCATTGCCACTAAGTACTACACTTTAGCTGTATTATTCTTTCACTTGTAAGTTAGAAGTTTTAAATTACCTTCCGTACATGGTAAGTTCAATCCTAAATTATTTTGGCAGACTCATAGTGTGGCTAAGATGGGTCAATGTTATTTGTTGATTTTTCCCCTAAACTTGTAAGTCATTGCTAATTTTCACCCCTTTAACTTTTATTCAGCCAATTACCCTCATAAGACCATCTCAAAACTTTCCCTAATATTCATGTCTTTTAAGTCCATCGTAGTCTTGAGTGTGTCCTTTGATTTCTCCGTAATCAACAATGTCTCAATCAAAATATCAAATATGTTCTTCTCAATGTGCATGACGTCAAACTAATATTCCAACTCGAATAAAATACTATTCCTTGTCCAGTTTAATTCTTCAGCATTCCACTTCCTCTTCTTGTCTTTATTACCACGATGCTTACCAAACATGTGAGAAACAATATAATCTAATTGGTCTAGTATGTTCTCGCCTGAGAAATCTCTCAGACTATTTCTCATCTCTCGATGACCCCATGAATGATTCATAGGTAAATAGCGACGGTATCCAATATGACAATACTTCTCAGCTTGGTGTACGATCCATCCTCATTACATATTGAACATGTCAACTTACCGTGAGTGCTCCAACTTGATAAATTTCCATAAGCAAGAAAATCATTGATGGTCCATATCACAGCTGCACCCAAATTAAAAGTACATGCAGCCATCTTATCATAAGTTTGAACGCTATTTTCCCATAATTCCTTAAGCTCATTTATTAATGGACGCAAATATACATCAATCTCATTTCCAGATGCATTACGTCCAGGAATTAACAAGGTGAGAAAAGAGAATGGCTTTTTCATACATTTCCATGGGGGCAAATTATACGGAAACAAAACAACTGGCCACATACTATAAGGCTTGCTCATATCCGAAAAATGATTAAACCCATCAGTTGCAAGACCTAATCTAACATTTAGTGGGTCTCGAGCAAAATCAGGGTACATTGTGTCAAACTTTTTCCAAGCAATAGTCTGCTAGATGCCTCATTGTGTTCACATCATTGACTCTTTTATCCTTGTGCCACCTCATGTCTTTGCTCGTACATCTTGACATGAACAACCTTTGCAACCTTGGTTTAAGTGGAAAATACCGCAATACTTTTCTCGGAACTTTCTTTCTTTGCTCATAAGCATAGCCTTATATTCTTTATAAAACAATGCACAGTTGTAGTTACAAGCATGAATATTTTCATACCCTGATCCAAGACTTCTCAATATCTTCTTGTACTCATAGAATGATTTAGGAACGTGGTTGGGTTGGAGACACATCTTCATCATTACTAACATCTTATCAACTGCCTTGTCAATCATATGGTTGTCAACTTTGTTGTGAATTAATTCCACAACGTAGGTCAAAACTGTATATTCATTGCATCCAAGGTATAGTTCCATTTAAGCTTCACAAAGCAATTTCTCATAATTATTAAAATCTACCCTATGAGCATTAGTCACCTCACCATTCCACAATGTATCTTGATAACTCATTGTATCTTGATCATCATCATTATCATCGAATATTTGAAATGCATCCTAAATCATATTGATCATGTTGCCATTAGGATTACTAGTCGGCTCGTCATTCGTAAATCCTGAAGTTTGTCCTTGCACTTGATGGATTCGCTCCCTATGATATATCCATGTATCATAATTCATATCCATACCGGAATTCAACATATGAAGATGAACATCTTCAACATAATGAAAAAATATGTTATGACAAACTTTACAAGGACATGATACTCATGAGTATTCACAATATGAGGTAGAACAAAGCATTTAACTCTTTAAGCTCTAATTACTAGTTAGTAACTTAATATGGTTAGTCTCACCATCACCAATTTTATCCTTCTACGTCTACACTCATCCCCTACTCTTGAAAGATAAACACATAATGATCAAGTTGAAATCACTTGTTAACATAGTTGATGTGCTACAGATGGATTGCTGAGATATAGGCTTAAACATGTTTATGATACATTCTACAACTCCTGACAACGGTTACTTTCACAGTTAATAATTTATTATGATAAGGTTTATGCCTAATGTTAAATGTTACAACTTTTCTCTACTACAATCAATTTCACTTGCTGATAATCAATTTTTGCAATGCAAGTCGACCGGCATATACTTGCCAGTTGATTAGCCGAATGTCAAACATGTTTAAAGTGACTAATTTCCCTTTATTTGTTTGTTACATTTGACAAATATCTTGGTTGATAAATAGGTCATGACCTAGCTCTAAGAATCAAAGCTACAACAACTACAATAGTTGTGCAGATTTCATGAAAATGTTCTAAACAAACAACATTAAGAAAACAAGAAGGAAAATCTTCTACAATCATCCACCAAATAACAATCATGAGCACTACACGGAACCAACACCATCGGGAAATTTAAAGCTAGTTACTAGACAAGATAATGATCAAAACTATAAATACTGAAACTGATAAGGGTTCGATCAAATAAGTAAAATAATAAAACTTTAAGGGTGCGTTTGTTGCACTGGACTATTTCAGACTGGACTAACTTCAAGGATTAAGCTGGACTGCCTTAGACTAGACTAAGCTAGACTAACTTAATGAAGCATTTTGTGCAGATTCGGACTAAGAAGCAGGATAATTTAAAAAAAAATCCATGATATATAAAAAAATATTTTAGTTGCTTCAACTTCAATTTCAACCAAATATTCATGTTATTCATGTAAAACATTTCATCTTCTCCATGTTCAAAGTATGTTTGTGTCACTCAAATACTGTATTTAATCCAACCTTTTTCTTCTTCTGGCAATTGTCACCAGTGCCATCTACCATAATAAAAATTTCAAAATTCTTGAGATTTCAAAACCAGAAATTGATAATTTGCTTCACATTTAAACAAAAACCCATCCACAGCAAAGCAACCCATCACAAATTTTCCCAAAAAAAAATCAAATTTATAAATGTGGGTTTTGTGAATAAGGAAATATACCAACAAGAACAAATAATAAAAAAGCCATATATTAGATCTAGTAAAAACATATACATACATATATGTGTGGGAAAATACACACACACACAAACCTAGAAAACGGTGCTTTCTATAATTTCAGCTTAAATTAGAAAGAACCACCATTGCAAACACCATTAAACCAAACAAAACATATTCAAAAATCTGAAATTCATATTATATTACCAAAAAAGGCCAACGATAGCTGATTTCTAATTTGGGATTTGGGAGAATAAAATCTTGGATTTTAGGGTTACAAGTTTAGAAATTGCCATAGTTTATTCAAACAAAAGTTCATGTACATAACCTAAAACAAAATTAAGATAAGGTAAGACCTTACCCAATTGTAGCCACCAAGTTAGATGCAAGTATATGGGTGTTGAGGAGAGTGATTTAGGGTAGTAAGGCAAATCATAGTGCAATGGGAAAAAAAAAAGGTGCGATCTGTGAGAGATGAAGGGGAGATGGGTGGTCGCCGATGATGGCAACCACCGGAGCACAAAAGAGGGAGATGAAAGGGTGGGGCGAAAAATGACGAAGTGAGAGTGGACTCTCTTTGTTCTGAAAAAAAAAGGAAGGTGGACTCTCTCTATGGAAGATTAAAAGAGAGCTTCAATTATTTTATTTTAAGTTTGAATATTTGGCTTTTATGAATAATTTTTTATATATAATCAGTGAGGCATCTTTAGCCTCACATTTGAGTATGTCATATTATTTAATATTATGTGACGCATTCTACAATTCGTCTAAACTTTCACTTAGGTGGTAAAATTTCCTGCCCATTTATATGTGGCGAATCTGAAAGTTATATGTGATGCATACAATCTAAAAAACCATCCTGGTCCTGCGAAAGTTTTTATATGACACTTTCTAAAATCTTCTAACTTATTCTCGTAACATATGACGAATTTCTGGACGCCACCACAAATTTCATCAAATATTCTTTGTTTTCTTGTAGTGAAATGAAACAAGACACAATAATTACGAGGATCATCTACAGTCAGTACGACTGGAGTACGTCTTCGAAGCAGCAAGGGTGCTTTCCATTTATAATCTGAAATAATAGGAATACAAAAATAACTCTCTATTCTCTCCTCTCTTCTTCCTTTTTTTTCTCTCTTCCTTCCGTTTCTCTTCTATGTCGAGTCTTTCATCACCCCTCTTTATTTCCTATGTATGTTTTCATTTTATAGGCAAAAAATTACTGTAGCAAAATTATTCACTTTACAAACTTTCCTCAAATGAATAGTGAAAATACTATGCATGAATAGTAATCCATCTGATTTTTCTTTGAATGAATAGTAACAAACTATTCATGTGGGCCATCCACATATTATATTACAACACTCCCCTTAGATATGAGATACTTTTACTTTCGACCTTAATGATATGAGACTTTTGCTCTTGAAGATAACGGTAGAAGATTAGAAGATTTTGATACTAACGTAAAACTTCTCAATCAAAATTATTTTCTTTCTGAGGAAATGAGTTGAGTAGTTTGAGTGACTTAGTTGAAGAGGTATTCTCGGAGAAGAAGAAAGTAGAGCATTTTGAGATGCTTTGTTGAAGATGTATTCTCGAAGATGAAGAAGAGTTAGGCATTCTTGCAGGTCTGCTTTGCCATGGAGGATGGATGTTGACATATATAGGGATTTAAGCAAGTAGTG